AGACGTGTCACTGAATCTGCGAGCCTATGTTTTAACCTTGTGAGTCTGCATCTCATTATCTCCCACGTGCTCCGTCTCGCCAGTCTGCGTAGACGTCAACAACTGCTGACGTAAGCAGCACGCCGCATTGTTATCGAGTCGAGCTAGACTTGAATTTTATGAAGATGTGGTCATCGACATTGCCGACAAGTGGTTTATTTCAGACTTTTTTCTAGGGGGGAGGGGGAGGGGGGGGCACTTGTGATTGTGTTCGGGGGTGGACTAAATTTCCCGGGGGGGGGGGCACTGGTAAAAATATGTTTTCTATATAAATTCCATTTCGTTCGAGGGGGGGGGGGGGGAAGAGGTGCTTTCCCCCCCCCCCCCCCCCCGAAGAGATGCCTGGAAGAAACACTGCCGACAACAATCAAAACTAAGCAAAACTTACTTCGTCGTTCTTTTTTTTAAGAACAACAATAAATTAGTTAAAGTAGTCTTCAAGCAAAAATCACCGCGTTTTTTTAAAAATTTAATGGTTGCAAAAACAGCATTTATACAGCCCCCCTCCCCCCCCCCCCAAATAGGCCTATAATATAAATAAAATATATTCTCACAGAATATAGGCTATTTTTAAAAAGCATGAAGTGTTTATGCATGCAGAGGCGTAGCGAGGGGAGGGCGGGGGGGGACGGGGACATATGTCCTCAGGGGGGGGGGGGGCGCCAAATTGAAAGTTTGAGGGTGGGGTTGCAAATGAAAAGTTTGAGGGAGGGGGGTGCAAATGAAAAGTTTGTCCCCGGGCGCCGGGAAGGGTCGCTACGCCTCTGTATGCATGACAAATTTTATGTTTAACCCATACTCCGCTAGCGTCCCACTTATGGGACGCTTGTAAAAAAAATTGCTAAAATTTATTAAAAACTAGTTAAAACACAAATTATGTTTCATTGTATTTGAAAATGGTTAGACTATTGAATTTGTGTGTGTTTTGTGAAAAAAAAATAATTTAGAAAAATGTTATAGTGCCGGATTTGCAGGACTTGTCAAAATGGCGGAAAAAAGAAAACATGCGCACAGGAAAATGCATATCTTCTAAAATATTAACATTTTAAGTGCAAAATACATTTGAAACTTGTAGCAGTACCATATTTCTATCTGATAAAAATTTAAGAATAACAATTTTTTTTACTACTTCGTTATATCAAGTGTACAACAAGCGTCCCATAAGTGGGACGCTAGCAACGAATGGCCCCATGTAGATTGTTACACAAAAGTCACATTTATTTGACACTAGCGAGAAACACATATGCAAATTTTTATGTTAAATGGTTATTTATGGTGAAACAATTGTTGACTATGTTAACTGCTGACTTTGGGGTGTAAAGTACTATTTATAGATATTTAATTATGACCTTGACCTATATTTATGCAGATTGTTACACAAACGTCACATTTATTGGACACTAGCGAGAAACACAGATGCAAATATTTATGTTAAATGGTTAATTATGGTGAAACAATTGTTGACTTTGTTAACTGTTGACTTTAGGGTGTTAAGTAGTATTTATAGATATTTAATTATGACCTTGAGCTATATTTTCTTATATATTATTGTATTAAAAAATTGCAAATATTGAAAAAACTTACATTTTATTTTTAAGTTTTCAGAATTACGCTTACTGAAGTATTTAATACCATTGAATACAAGCTAATTTAGTATTGCTGTAAATTTACTAGCGCGTGATATTAAAATTATAACAAACCAGAATAATAAAAATGGCCACGATTGAGGTGAAATGATTCAGTCAAGGGGGTTGGTTAACTCTCTTCATATAAGAGCTCAAGCTACACATAGCAGAAATGTGAATTAGCTGTGTACTAGTGTCATGCCCCAATAATATTCCCATCCAAAGGTTCCCGATACCAGTTTTACTTTGTTAACTTTTTAAGGAGAATCCTGGTGTTAGATTGAGAGCTGTTCGCATAGTGAGGTGCATACATGGATGAGAGCCATGAACACTCAATACAAGCCCCCAGAAACAGATCCGTGCCCTAGACATAAGATGTCTGATGTCCTAATGTACGCCTGTGAGGGGGGGGGGGGGGATAGCGAGGGTAACAAAAGAGGATGGCTGGATGACATCTGGGACTGGACCGGATCGTCTTTTGCAAATTCACTGAGGGCAGAGTTTCTTTCAGGCATCATTTCGGAGAGGGGTGGGGGGGGGGGGGCGGGGCTCTGCCCCTAGATCAAAATGGAATTTATATACAAAACATACTTTTACCAATGTCCACCCTGCCCCTGAAATTTAAGTCCCCCCCCTGAAAATTTCAAGTACGCCCCCCCCCCCCAAATCAATTATCTATATTTAATTATATTACAGTTTCGATGAATAATAACAATATTTGTGATCACGTGTGTATAATTAGATGTACCAATCACAGTTTTACTTATTTCCAAGCGTTATTCACTTTGATGGATGCCAGATTGAAAGAAAACTAGACTTTTGAACAAAATTTCTGCATTTTAGACCATGGTATGGCTAACCCAATTGATCATTATCATTATTTTTAGCTGTCCTAAACATTGTAATCATTGGCCTAACAATACAAAATCAGTATACAGCTTAATTTTTCGCGTGATTAGCCATATTTCGTGATAAATGATTTTATTTTTCAATAAATGTACATGGGGCCTTTCGTTGCTAGCGTCTCATTTATGGGACTTTTTTTAAAAAAAATCGATATTTAAAAAAGTATTGATTTTAAAATAAAATCCATAGTCATTCCTTCATTCAGTGCCCAAAAGCTAAACCATATCAAAAAAATTATAAAAATTTGAGACCTTGGGATATTATGGGTTAAGAAAAAAAAAATCACATTCAACAAACATGCATTAGTTTGCTGTGCCTTATTCCTTATTTTAGGCCAAACCTAAAAAAATAAGGTACCAATCCCCCCCCCCCCCCCGAAAAAATTCTACCGCCCCCCCCCCCCCCGAACGAAATGAAATTTATATAATTTATATAGAAAATATATACTTTTAATAGTGTCCGCCCCCCCCCCCCCCGAAGAAAGTCTACCGCCTCCCCCCCCCCCCCCGAAGAAAGTCTACCCCCCCCCCCCCCCCAAAATTTTTTCAAGTGCCCCCCCGGAGAAAAAAGTCTGGAAGAAACACTGATCTAAGAATCCCTTCTTGTTTAAAATGGAGGTTTGTTTATATTAAGGATTGATGTAAGATTTGACACATTCACTGAAAGTGGGAAGTCTGGATGTAAATGGGTGGGGGGGGGGGGATGAGAACAATATCCCGGAAAGACTTTCCCCCAAGGCCATGTACGATCCGTGCTAATAATAGCACGCGTATACATACTTGGATAAGATTCTTTCATCTTCACTTTCCATAGGACACCACGGGCAGGGGATGGGTGGGTAATGATTTTTTTGTTGGTCAGGGGGAGGAGGGGTGGTCGAGCGATGGGTCGTCATGCACGCTTGGGGGTTATTTAAAGCGTGCAGTCTAGTTCCGTGGATTATTGGTTAGCCTGCTGACCACAAGCAGCAGACGTCAAACTCACATTTATTTTTCTTGTTGACACCAGCAGGCACACGATAAGATGATCCACAAAAACACGACAGAAGGTAAGATATATTTGATTTTACTTGTTGTTCATTTGCTGATTAGAGAGCTACCACATAATTAGATCTGATTATTCTTTTAGACGTATCATTAACATTTGTATTAGCTCTATAAACTTCATGTATATAATTTATAGACTTCTTTACTGTAAAAACTGAGAGTGGGCATTATAAGCCTAATAGTACTTTTGTCTATTCTATTTTAATATATTTTGTGTTAAAATATTACCTACGGTAAACAGTGCTACATAGGCAGAGAGCAAACGTAGGCTAATGTCACTAATATTATGCTGGCTAACCCTGGCTTTGATTGTTATTCTGACTCATGCATTTCCATATTTAATTAGGGTAATGATAAATCTAAGCTTTGATAGCTTGCTTGACTTATGATTGATTAGGGTAACGAATTAACAATACTAGTAAAACAGATCTAGCTTTGATATAGCCTAACCTACTTAAAACTTGATTAATTAGGGTAAAGATTCTAGTTAAAAATAGATCTAGCTTTTATAAGCTTTCTTTTTTATAGCTTTTATATAACCTGCATGACTTCCTCAGAGGAGTTTTTTGATTAAAGTTATAATTATAATCTGTTCCATATAAGACATTTAGCAACTTATATTTACTTTACCACTAGTAATTGAACACTTCTTATTTTTTTTTAAAGACAATTTTTATTATTTTGGCATTATCGGACACAGGTAGAACTCATTTCATATCCTCTACTTTACTTTTGAAGTGAGAGAGTAGCATTACATAAATTTCATTCCATTATTTTATTTGCAAAACCAAATTTATGAAAACCCATATATAGACCTAAGTGCATGTTAATAGCCTTTCATTCAACACTGCGACTCTCAGTGGTCTGCTACACACGTTGTGTTCCGTTGTTCAGTGAACCGTGAAGGCTAGACAAACTCCCACGTGGGATATTGAGGTGAGTTGACCGAGTGCTGGCGGGGAGGGAGGGGGGGGGGGGGGGGGGTCGGGGAGAGGCTGGATGACCAGCGGCGCCTAGGGTCACGAGTCAATGCGGGTCATGTCATGCTGTGAACACGTGCATGACCCCACAGCACACTGTTCTAAATTTCGGACAACACCAACATTTACTCAGCTCCCCCCTCCAAAAAATGGGTCTAACCTAATATATATCCTATGTGATTTCTGCTCTCAGTTGAAACTAAGAAAATAGTCACAAAAATGTGCATAACCCTGAAGGTCATAAACAAACTATCGTTGGATTGCCTTCTTATATCTACAGATCAAAGAATGCGATACGACAGAGCCTTTCTATTACTGCTACGTCACTCTCCGTTGTCCAGCATTCGACCAGCTGGTTGTGATGACCCAGATCTAATGCTAGACGAGGTAAGTACCACTTATTCATGGGTGCTCTAAGTGCTCTTGTTGTTTATGGCACAAAAACATGGACGTCCACACGTTGGGTCATAGAATTTCAACAGAACGTCTCCAATCCTTTTGAAAACAAAATCTAGGCATATAATTGAATAGCAAAAGACTATAGGCCTATAGCTTATATCTGTTTACGTCAGTTTACGACCCTCTTGATCCCACACCAACCCCCATGACCCCACACTGGAAGAAAACCACCGGAGTTATGACATAGCCCTGCACCATTCTTGGTAATGTTTCATATGTCCATAGGCAGTATCTGAATTTTATGTGTTATATTGTCGAAACCCCCCCCCCCCCCCAGAACTCAAGGCAAAGAATTAAACTATCTAGATTGACCCTTCAATTTTGCTGTAAATCCTGCTTATGTGTCTTATTTTAAAATCATCAACTAGGGATTAAGATGATTAATTTTTAAAATATCCTCTTAGCCTCTGAAACCCTGTGATGGTATTGAAGCTGGTCAATTTTCAGAAGATTATTTTACACACTACGCACAAGGCTTCACACGTGGACACACCAAGGTAAATATAAATTATGCTCTGAAAACTGTCTCAAATATTCTGAGTTTACAATCACAAGGACATTTTGCATCATTAGTATTATCGGCAATAACTTGCCTTATAACTTTATTATAACTTGCCTTATTATTACATACCCCCAACTAATGCATAACAAGAACAATTCTGAAGTTTTCTCAGTAGTAGACCTTCAGATCTTAAAACAAAACAATAAAAAATACTGTTAAAATAAAAAATAATACATTTTGGTTTCATACTTACTTTACAAATATTAATATATTCTCTCCTCAGCATATATTAACAAGAGCCTCTCTAACTGATGATGCAAATTTGCTACACACTAGTAAAAATCCTTGGAAAGCTTCACATCAAGATCTTGAAAAGGTGAGTTCACATTTCTTGCTTAGTGTTACAGAGCAATAAACTAGAGAAATAAGATGTAATTTGTCATTGTATGCAGTGTATGAAAAGTCATTTTGAGAATGCTGTGGTTTTTTGTGTTTATTATTATTTTAGAAAAGATGATTGGCTATGTGCATTCCATATTATATTTAACTGTGCAATATTATAAATTTATTTTAAAACAGAAAAAAAGTTTAGAGGCTGCTGTGCTATTTATAATGAACCGATTGACCCCAAGCAACTTTAAAAAACTGGCTGAAGAAATGAAATCTTTGGACATTCAGACATTTGAAGATTTGAAGCTAGTGGTGGATGTTATCTTTGACAAGGTGAGTTGCGCATCACACATAGGAAGACTGTATCAAAATTAATCAAAAGCTATGTGAGGTGAAGAGTTAAAGAATGACTTTTATTAAAGGATTGTCTAAGTTTAAGCTTGAAAGGTATAAATTGTTGGGTAGATATGCGCGTCACACATAGGAAGACTGAATCAAAAGTAATCATAATATATGTGAGGTGAAGAATTAAAGAATGGCTATTATTAAAGGATTGTTGATGAGTTTTAAGCTTAAAAGGTATAAATTGTTGGATAGATATGCGCATCACACATAGGAAGACTAAATCAAAACTTAAATCTTAATTCATGTGAGGTGAAGAATTGAAGAATAACTATTAATTTTTTTATTATTGAAGGATTATTATTAAGTTTTAAGCTTGAAAATTATAAATTATAAATTACTTGATAGATGTATGCTAACTGATGTTTATTTCCATTTCTAGGTGACTATCGAAACAAAATTTGTGCAGGCATATGCTTCTCTCTGTCAGTTCATGCTTGGGGTAAGTAGTATATTTGTACAATTTGGTATTAAGTGATTGTTTTATAATTAAAATAATGTATAAGACTATAAGAACCCTCTCTAAAACTGTTTTACGCTGCTGCAGTTTCAGGTTGTGCCACCCCCAAACATGGCACAAAACAGGGCAACATTCAGGGCTATACTGGTCACAAAGTGCCAACAGGAGTTTGAGGCAGATAAAAACTACATTTTTGAAGATCCAGAGAAAATAAAAAACAGAATAATGGAAGAAATGCTAGATGATACAGTAAGGTTTTGTTTTTCTGTAAACACTTTTGACTTTAAATGAGTTTCGGTTGATGTTAATGAAGTTGTGAAAATACAAGGACCCAACCTGTGTTATTTTATTTGCATATTAAACATTACTAACTGTCACAATGAGCTTACAATGGATCTCAGTTTAAGTAACTTGAACTTTAAGCCTTGTATAAAACTGTTTATGAATTTTTCTCTAATTTTACATTTTTAATAATTTTCTGATAGCCTGCAAGAGCAGAGAAAATTGAAACAACTTTATACCAAATGAAACTTAGGCGATTAAAATATTTTGGTAACATTGGGTAAGTTAAGCAATTTTTAAAGAATTTTAAAATACAGATAATGATGTAGGCCTGTTAAAAATAATTTGGCTGAACTATTGCAAAGAAACCATCTACTAGTTGTTGTATCTACTACTACTATTTCAAAGAAACCACACCGCTTGATGACAACAAATTACAGATTTATTTTCTTAAAAAAACAAAATTTTGTTCATTTCCTTCAGTTTTATTGGTGAGCTGTTCAAGCTAGGGATTCTACCAGAGGTCATCATTCACTCCTGCATCTCACGTCTGCTGTCATCAAGGGATAGCGAGTCCATGTTCTCTCTGTGCAAGCTTATCTCTACTGTAGGGAAACACATTGACAAGCCAAAAGTTAAGGTAAGGCTACAACCAGAGTCCCTTCAGTGCAGGGTTAATTTCAGATATTTTTCCCCAGGGCAGATACACAAAAATTTCCAGGGTTGTCTGGGCAGACACCAGTTCAAACACATATTTTCTATATAAATTTAATTTATTCATATTGTCAGGAGAGCGTGGGTAGATGTGGTTTGAGGAGAACTATTCCCCCTCCCCTTCCACCACCCAAACAAAAGCCTGAAGGAAACTGCTTATTTTTCATACCCATGTTGTAGCTACACTGTTAATATTAAAAAATTGTTTTTAATAAGTCAAATGTCTGTTACACAATCTAATTCAAAACATTTAATAATCCCTAGGCTCATATAGACAAATATTTTACCACAATAAAGCAAATTGCAGAGGAAAGCACATCCAGGCTCAAGTTTGCTTTGAAAGATTTAATTGATCTTAGAAAGGTACATAGTGGCTTGTTTATGTAACTAAATTATTGTTTTTAGAGTTAAAAAAAATGCCTACCTAATTTTATAATATAGAAAAGCTGTAACTTTAGTTTATGTAAGCTACATCTTTATTTTCTCTTGTATTAGTTAACCTCTTTTGAAAACTAAATACAATGTTTAATGAAAACAAACACAGAACAAATGGAAACCAAGAGCAGAGCAGGCAGGTCCTAAAACCCTAGCAGAGCTACATAAAGAATTTAAAGAAGAGCAGGCTAATAAAGAGGTTCTTCAGTCAGTCCCCCTCAATCAACAAAGTGATAAAAGGTTTTTCACACCCTCCAGAGCTCAGGCATCTACTCCTAGCAAACCATCAGAAAGATCTAGAGAAATTAGAAACCCTGTTCATACTTCAAATGAAGGTATGAGTATTTTATTTATGTAAATTTTAGTTTTAGTGAAGTTTTAAACTTGAATTTAGTGCTGTTCCATTATTTCTTTTGTATAATGATGAAGTTTATGTTTTAATAATATATCTAAATATATTTCAGGATGTTCAAATAAGAATAAAAAACAGGGCAATGCTTCTCCAATGTTGGAAGATAAAGAAAACTGCCAAACTTGGTCACAAGTGAAATCTAAAGGAAAGAAAAAACAAACTAGACAGTGCAGTGGTAGTGTACAGACTCAGGACAACACTGGCAAAAAGAAGGTCACTAAAGAGCAGAAGAAACAAACAGGATTTTTATCTAATGCATTTTACTTGGAAAGTGAATCGGAAGATGAAAAGAAGATGGATGAACCAGAAACTGAAAAAATTGACCTGACCAGGTTCAAAATTTCTAAGGTAAAATTTTTCTGGCTCTTAAAATATTATTTAATGAAATAAATAAAATGACAACTACATTGTAATTAATAATACAAGTAATTATTGCACTAAATGATAATAGTTTATTATTAATATTTAAAAAACATTTCTATAACAAAAGGCGAGGGATCAAAACATTCGGCTGGCCCCAGGAGGTTTCAATTTCAGACTACCAAATCTTCAGGCTACAGATGAGAAACCACAAGAAAAACAAACAGCTTCAAACAGGTCAAACATAGTGTTTTCATATTTTACTCATGAAATAAATTAATCGCAGATTTTAACAGCACCATAATACTTTTTTACATTGAAATATGTCCAGTTTTCTTAAGTTAACCCAAAGCATAGGGCTGATTTGCAACCATTGTTAGGTTGGCGAATCATACTATTACTACTATCACTTAATTTTACAGATAAGCAGTGAATGATTCCCATTATATTTGATGATGCCAATAATGACAAAGCATGTATTGTTACTGTTACTAGTTTATGCTTTTTTTTTTGCAGATATGATTTGCTTGATGACATTGATGATGATAGTGTAGTGGAAACAAAATTTTCCAAAGATGTGAAGACAGATTCTGACGACAAATGTTCCAGTGTTGGCACAGCTAAAGAACAACCCCAGCCATCATCATCAGCAAAAATAACACCTTCATTAACGGAAGAACAAGCAGAGTTGCGGGCTAGGAATATCATTGATGAGTTTTTAAACTGCAGGGATCACATTGTAAGTTTAAAACAACTATACATTTAAATCACGAATTAGGAATGAATTTAAATTTTATCGTTTTCAAAATGCAATGTTTTTTAAAACAGATGAAAATATGAGCTTTACTTTGATTCTTCTTTGATTTCTATTATTGTTTTTTTAACTTCAGGAGGCTCAACAGTGCATCAGGGAGCTCCTGTGTCAGACAAATGGTAAACGTGTAGTCACTACAATCTTAAACCATGTCATGGAGAAATCTAATGATGCAAGACTACAGACTGGACAACTTTTCCTTCAGATAATGGAAATTAAAATTATCTCCCTGGATGAATTCACTCAAGGGTAAAGCTAATTTTAACAATCATCTATTAGGGACAGATAGTTTTTTGTACTATTAAGTTATATATTTGTACACAAATATTGTAATAATTTAAGTTTTATTTATTCCCAATTAACACTAACATTTTAATTCCAGTTTCTCAGAGATACTAAGCTTTGCTGCAGACATAGTGATAGACATTCCGATGCTGTGGAGGTACCTAGCCCAGATTGTCTGCCCACTTCTAGAAACTTCTCTGCCTCTGAAGGAATGTGTTGAGCTGTTGTCTAAAAACTTGGAGCCTGACCACTGCGCTTTATTACTGGCCCAGATTTTTATAATTGTAAAAGAAAATAAAATGAAGGTAAGAAAAATTGTTAAATTCTAGATACAGATTCTATATTTTCATGGTATGCCCTTTATTCCCCCATCAGTGAGTTGTATGTATTATAATAAATGTAGGCTTATATCCATCAAAATATGTTCTAAAATATTCGCACTTATTTTGTTAAATATAAAATAGTATAAAATAATTTTTTTATAAAGTAGATTTTCCATTTAACTGTAAAATTAAGAGGACTTAGAAATATTCATTAATCTTACATGAAATCAGGTGTTATTTCACATGATTATAATTGTTCTATTTTGCTACAGAGTTTTAACTCAATATCTAACACGCATAAAAATAATAAAGAATTTATTGTATTTCACAGAATTTAACTTCATTGCTTGATGCTTGGTCATGCTGTGGATTTAGCTGGGAACAATTTATGGATGCTGACAGAGTGAATTCATTTTTAGAGGACAGAAAATTATTAGAGATCTTCTCTAATAGGAAACAAAGTCAGGCAAGCAATCAACAAGATGTACTGGACAATTCTAAAGTTGAGACAACTGGACATGAGATTAATACACCTTTATGTGAACAATATCCTTCAGCATCTGAACAGTTCTCACACTCTGTTGAACATAAAGGTGAACATCTAGATATCTCTCTAAAAGCAGAACATGTTGATCTGGGTTATGTTACAGTAACTGAAACAAATGCTGAACAAACTGACACTGGTAATGTTCATGTGCTGAAAGATGAAGGAAATACAACTGCCAATCTACTGACAGATGACATTATATCACAAAATACCATTTGTGACAGTGAGGATCATTTAGCCCTTAACACCATTTGTGACAATGTTGATCAGTCACCAGATAATGCCATTTGTGACAATGTGATTCAATCACATCTTAATACACTCATAAACACAGATGAACCTGACCACTCAGATGAACCTGACCACTCAGATGAACCTGACCACTCAGATGAACCTGACCACTCAGATGAACCTGACCACTCAGATGAACCTGACCACACAGATGAACCTGAACACACAGATGAACCTGACCACTCAGATGAACCTGACCACTCAGATGAAGAAGGGGAAGCAATTTGGCGACAAGAAATGGCAGAAGATGAAGCATTTTTTGCTAGTAAGGTGATAAAAATAAACAGTGTGGAAAAAAGAAAATATTACATATGCTTCTGTCCATCCAACTTTTCCAATGAAACTGTAATGTGGGATTCAAGCACAGAAAAGCTGGTCAACTCTGAAGCATTTCTTCCACCAGACAAAGAATGTGTTGAGAATAAAACAGATTTCTACACTATGCAAGAGAACTCTCCTGGGGCATCTGGAGAAGCATGTGTACCTCTCTCTATAGATGCTCCATGCTTTGTCCCAACATACTACAGAGAACAATCTGAGTCCCCAACTGATTCTGGACTGTGTTATTCAGACATATACAAAGAGTACCCAGAATCTTCTACCACATCATCATCCAATTCACAGGCAGACTCAGGATTTCAAGACCTGAATGAAATGTCACCACCAATGTCTGCAGTTCACACAATGCAAGAAAATCTTGAATCCAAAACACAACTAAATGATTTCAAAACATCTGAGCTTTCAAAATGGCATTCTGACCATCAAGGATTACACTGTGAGTACAGCACCAATGCTGAAGATTTTGTGAGTAATATTTCAGACAGCTATTTCTGCCATGGGAACATTCCTTTATCATTTCATCATTCAAGTCAAATTTCCCTGAAATCTGACTATTCAAACACTGACCCTTATTTGTCAGTTAGGGATGGATTGGATATAGAGTTTGATCAGGTAAATCCAGTCCAGTTTTCAACATCAAGCTGTGAGGATCAGCCTAGGGAAGGTCCTACAGGATACACGAAACTAAACCCATATCATACAGAACATTGTACACCACTAGACAGACTGAAATTCAGCCTGTCTCCCCTTAATGAGCCTAGTGCAAAAATACAGGACGTTGAAGCTTGCACACATTCTTGTGCACCAACACACCATCTTGAATCAAGTGCACCAACACACCATCTTGAATCAAGTGCACCAGCACACCATCTTGAATCAAGTGCACCAACACACCATCTTGAATCTTGTGCGCCAACACACCATCTGAGTGCACAAACACATGTTGAATCATGTGCTCTACCACACCAGATTAAAGATTTCCTTGAGACCCTGTTTCCAGAGAACTTTATGTCCAAATGTAAACAAGTGATTGATGACTTTGAAAAACTTTTGCAAGAAAATCGAGCAAGCCAAGATATTTTACACTATATTCAGGTAAATATTTTCTAATCTTTTAATAGAACAATTTTTGAAACTAAAACCAGCAATTCACACCAACTTTTTATGTCACATCTTTACTTGAAATGCTATTTGTACAAACATTAAAACACTCAAATGAAGAAATTTCACTAATTCTATACAAACAATACTAGTTACTTGTAAAAGTACTTACATGACAACATAGCCTATACAGTCCTAACTAATCACTCCCCTGGTTTAGACAGCATTACCAGAAGAAAAGAAAGATTCACCTATAGGTTTTTTCCACAAACCTTATACAAATAGTTTGTGGAAATGCTAAATAACTGATAACAAAAAGTGGCTAGAACATTTATATGATGTAGACCTACTTAGAGATAATAATGTAAAGAAATCATAGATCTGCAACACTCCTAAAAAATTGACTTGATTGAATTGAAAATAAAATTGTTTGCAATAGTTGATTACAAATGTTTGATACATTTCCTGCAGGAGTACCCACAGACCAGAGAAGTTCAAATCTTCCTTCTCTCTCTACTGACCTCCTCTCTTGGTACAATGGCGCTAAGATGTAAGTAAACTAAAATTAAATTTGATGCTCTAACACGTTGGTCACCACGGTCCCAACATAAAAATGTATTTAAATGTTCATACTGCATTTTCATACTGCATTTTTAAAATTCTCCAGATGCTGACATTTTTTTCTACCATATCTCTATAATTATAGTATAGGGGTCATCCATAAATGCCATCACGCTTTTTTGGACAATTTTTACCTCCCCCCTCCCCTTTGTTACACATCATCACAAAAAGCTAGACCCCCCCCCCCCCCCCTTAAAATGACATCACACCTCAGCATACAACCCCCCTGAAAATTGCAGTTGAATTTTTCTTAAAACTTGGATATTTTTCCAAAATCTTGACTGAACTAAATTTAATTTATTAAATCAGTTTTCTAAAATGCAAAATAGCGTCTATAATCCGTTTTCTAACATTGCTTTTTTATAATGCAAAAGTGTGACGTCCACCATCTGAAACCCCCCCCCCCCCCCCTCATCACAAACCATCACAAAATTACGGACCCCCTCCCCCTACGAATGTGACGTCATTTATGGGCGACCCCAATAACACATAAAAATGCTTAGTTTATGATTTTTACCTTTTTTTTTTGCAAATTTAATCAAAAATTATTCTTCATTGCTGTAGCACCACTTGGCAATAGGATAATTAAAGACAGAAAAGATCTGATGCAAAGCCTGATTGGCAATGACCCTGACCTTGAACTTGTAGCTGTCAGAGCTTTGTTTCACTTGACACCACATGCCCAGCATCCCCATGGTAAGCTTTGATCTCTAGCTAAATTAAAATATTAATTTTTTTTTATAATTAATTGCTTGAACATTTTAAAACAAATTGCTTTAAACATGGTTAGGATATGAAATTTATGTTTTTGATTTGTTTATGTATGAAGTTTGAAAAATTTAGAAATATTGTAAATCTACCAGCATTAAATGTACTGTTCAGCTGCTAATTAGGTTTTACATGCCAAAAGTTATATTTCGTGAACTTTTGAATTTGTATTTAATTTAGGCTATCTTAGCAAACTATTTGTTTTGCTTTTCACAATTTCAATTTGTATATATTATAACAATAAAATTGAGTGAATTTATTAATTTAAATTAATTAATATTTTGTGTATTAATACATTATTTATTATTTTACATATCTTTAGACTAGCTCTAATATTCCCATTGATATTTCTATTTCAGAAATTGTGTGTTTGTATGCAGAGATGTTTAAGGAGGGGTTGGTCAGCTTTGATGTGCTCTACAACTGGTGCCTGTCTATTGGACCAGGCAAAAATAACTAGGATGAAGTTGTGTTTAAATAAATTAACATGTGTTTGTGTGTTCGTTTGCCAAATGAATGTACTATTTTGATTCCAATTATTTAAGACTGCATTGAAATAAAATGTATTTATTGATATTTTAATTAGTTGTTTAGAATTATTTCTGGTTTATTTAACTAAGCTTTCTAATATTGTTGAGCATCAAGAATCAGAATAAACTAATATACAAGTGTATTATCATGACGTGAGATGGAAGCAAGTAAAAACTGAACAGTTAATCCTGCATCATTAAATTGATTGTGAAAAACATTAGAATGTTTGCTTTTGAAATGTTATAAAAGATCTGTCTCAACTCCCTGCTTTTTCTAATGGAGTATATCTACAAAATGAAGTGCCTCTAAGGGGTGACACATCAGATAGGGCTAACATCTGTCCCCCTTTGTAAGAAGACCAGCAAAGAAGCCTTTACTGACACCCAGCACACTAAGACCTTATGACAGACAGCCAAACTCTTCTGAAAAGGTCCATCACTTCCAACCCCTTCCGACAGATGTCGCACACTCAATACCTTAGGTCTTCTGATGAATGTGCAACACACCAAAACCCTTTTTGACCCCCCCCCCCCCTCCCCTCTTTTGAGACGACTACCCATACGTCCATGTTCAAGCCCATTCTGACAGACAAATGTTCTCGACCACAAACTACATAATCGATCTGTTTCTACTCTATCAACACAAAAAATAAAACTGCCCTCAGACATGATTTAACTGGGTTTTCTTAAATTACCCATAAAATTGGCTTGTATTATGTTACTTTTCACAACTTAAAGTTAAACACGCACATGTATATCCTATAATAAATATTTGGGCTTATAATGGCTTATATGGGGGTCGTCCATAATGACGTCACACTCGTAGGGAGGGGGATCTGTAATTTTGTGACGGTGTGTGATGAGGGGGAGGGGGTTTCAGATGGTGTGACATCACACATTTGAATTATAAAAAAGCAATGTTAGAAAGCGAATTTTAGACATTATTTCTCGTTTTAGAAAATTGTAATAGGAATTGATTAAAATACTCTATTTTGACAGAGTTCAGACAAGATTTGGGGAAAATATCGATGTTTAAAAAAACACAACTGCAATTTTGAGGGGGGGGGGGGGGGGTTGTAGGCTGAGATGTGACGCCATTTTAGGGGGGGGGGGCTCTGGCTTTTTGTGACAATGTGTGATGAGGGGGGAGTTGGGGGGGGGGAATCGTCAAAAAAGCGTGACGTCATTTATGGATGACCCCTTTATGTTTATTTAGGCATTTCTTATTGGCGAGCATGGTCAGAAAGTGTTACAATAAACATTTGCTGTTTTAAAAAGTAATGGAAACTGGATTTTATGCCATTATTCAAATTTTAACTTTTAAAAGGTTGTTTTGTAAATTGTATTAGAAATTGAATAATATAATATAGACATAGGCCTCCATGTTGACCGAACTCATATTGTAATCGGTTGGTTTTTTTACTGCTGCACCATTCCGGAATAATAACCGACACTAGATGAATATTTGTGAGAATACCGCTTTGATATTTTAGAATGTTACACACATTTACTTTTGGGGGAGGCAAAAGATGTGGGACATTTTTTAAGTGATGGGGGGGGGGGGGGGGTGTTCTGGCTTTTGGTGACGATGGGGTGGGTAGAGACTAACAAAATGACGTCATTTATGAATGGATGAGGATGACCCCTCCCCACCCCAAACGTTAGTAACGAATAGAGTCTACATAAAAATGAAATATAATTTATAATATTTCTGTTTCTGCTACAAAACGTTAAATGACAATTACAATTTTTCGCCAGGAAATAGCTGTAATAATATTACACCTAGATTCTAGATCGCGTTGCACTGATTATAGACAGAGTTTCTTCCAGGCATCTCTTCGGGGGGGCGAAGCCCCCCCGAAAATTTTTTACCGCCCCCCCCGAACGAAATGAAATTTATATAATTTATATAGAAAATATATACTTTTAACTGTGTCCGCCCCCCCGAAGAAAGTTTACCGCCCCCCCGAAGATTTCAAGTGCCCCCCCCGGAGAAAAAAGTCTGGAAGAAACACTGAATTATAGATCTATAATATATATGGATTCTATACTATATATCTACGGCTTATTGTACGGCACGGGGATTATATTGTTGAGAAGGACGCTTTTCCATATCCTTAGTAACGAGGAGGAGCCGCTGTTTACTTGTAGGCCTAAAGTTTAAATAAAATTAAATATGCATACCGACTACGAAATTGCACGCGATTTATTTTTAATTGACCTTTATTAATTTTAAATTTTATTGTTTGTCCCATAAAAGCATGTAGATCTACATGTAGATCTATTAATTTTTTAATTGCATCATGACTTTCACGAATAATTAAAGATGATCCAAAACTAAGGTACGATTGCAAATCCAAAGTTGAGATAAAAAGTTTAACTGAAGAATAGGTACACGAAACAATAGGAAAATAAATGCAATCTTGAATGAATCCAAATCCACGTCGAAGCAGGTAGATTCTAACCGTAACTACTAGTTTCAGCAAGTAGAATCTTAATTAATCTAGGCCTAGATCTAGATAATTAGATCTAGTAACTCTTAGAATTAGCCTATCTAAGCCTAATTCAATTAATAATTATATTTAGGCCTAATTATTTTAAAAGTAGCAGAAGCGCAAGAGTGTCTGCATCATCAGTCAGTTGTCATTACTATTGTATTACTATTACTATTGTAGAGAATAGAGATGTAGACTAGATTCTAGTTGAAGAAGTAGAATAGTAGATTCTAGATTCTCTAAATTCTAGATCTAGAAATCTAGATCTATATCTCTAGATCCAGTCTAGATAGATACCTCTAGACTAGATCTAGACTATTCTAGACTCTAGGGGGGGGGGGGGGGGGGGAGGGGAATTTTTATACCTGTCTGATCATAATTTAATTTAATAGACTTAATAACTTAATTCCATAATTTATTTTTTAATTAATTATTGAAGTGACTAAATGTCACTAAATGAAATGGAATCTTTTTTTAAAAACGGGTGTAAGGTTACTGGTAGTTAACTAAAAACTAAAATGGCCAAGGCCATTCCCAGCCGGTTCGGAATAGCCGTATTGGGGCTATTCCCAGCCGACTGTGAATAGCCCCAATACGGCTATTCGCAGTCGGCTGTCATTTCATGCTAAATTCAACTGTGAATAATATCTTACAATAATAAAAGCATTTATTGTGACTGGGGAGTGAGGTGTAGATTAAGAGAGCAGTGCTATTTTTATTTTGTTATAATTTTATTATAAAAAAGTTATTACGGTTAAAGTTTAGTTTAGCTTTTAGGCTCATATCAGACATATCTGCTAGAATAATAGATGTAGTAATTTTTAAATAAATAATACTAATTAGGCCTAAGTATTATCAGTTTAATTGGTTATTGACATTGCTATTCAACTATCGATTACCATTAAAAATTCACATTATCACATAGAATAAATATCAGGTGAAATAGGATGTCCTTTTTCATCAGCTATAATTCACAGTTTCCATCACACTTTGTTGGTTTTTTCTTAGCAAAAATCTACGGGACAGGTCTTTTTTTTTTTTTTTTTTTTTTTTTGCTGATATGCCAACAATTACGTCACAACAAAAAAAAAAATGAACAAAAATAACCCTTCCTTGAGTAACTCAAGTAACTGTGAAAAATATTTTAATAATAAGATTAAAAGGCATACATTAGGAGTCATAGCAATATGACATCTGATGGATTTGAACCCCCCACCTTCCGGCACAACAGCCACTCCCCATGACCGCTCAACTACACATTGTGGTGGCGTAGATGCAGGTGTAGGATAGACAGTGTACGTGACGGAGACGATCGACGAAGCACGGATTAGAATTAGATTGTAATTACGGGCGACATCATTGTGGGGGGTAGGTGTAGCAGACACGTATCTAGTTAGCCTGGGTGACCGTAATGGGGGTAGTTTATTAGCAGGGTCTGACATTTTAATCAGGTACGACAGAACTGTGGCGACATGCAAATTAGGTTAGACCGGATGGGGAAGACAAAGAAGTGAGGACGATGAGGGTTAGGAGACAGTTGAATCTAGCAGTCGGGGTTGAGAATTTGTAGTGAGAGGACGTGTACAAGTGTAGAGTTAGGGAACAGTATAGTGACAATAGTGTAGGAAACATTGAACAGTAGGTGTAGACAAGCAGTATATATTGTGTTAAGCATCGGATGTATAATAAGTAAAATATTGTGAATCAAACTGATATTCGAGTTGTCTTATTTACTGTACGGATATGAGAGTTCTCGTCCTCGTCACAGTAGTTAACTATAGGGGGAAACTAATAGAAGAATAACAAGAAGAATAGAGAAAGCAAGCAATTTCCCCCCACCACATATTGGTGGAGCACAGTGGTTCGTAATCCGTACAGAAGTGTTGTTTGAACTTCGATATGACCAGAAGTGATGGTTGCAACATATTGTGTCTATCAGAAGTGCTACAAGTTATCGCAATGAAGCAAAGATAAGTACCTCCTCTAATTTTATTTAAACAACAGGGATTTTAGATCCTGTGCTGGATATTATACCAGTATTTTTGTTTATTGTTTTGTATTTGTCTATCAGTAATTAGCTTTTATAGGTTTGTTACTCTTAAATTGGCTGAGGCTTCCTAATTATAGGACACTTTGGGTGTAGGCCTGCTATTTAAGAGGTACATATTTATAGTTAGCTGTATCACGTAATGTTCGCATTATCGTGTCTATAGTCTATAATGTAACTCATTTTCTTCTATATAACCTGTCACGTGTTACGTACTGTGGTAGGCTACATCTATTTTTACTCTCGTCCATTTATGTGTATCGTCCTGTTCAGTTAGAGTTATTTTGATATCCATTTATTTCCACACATCACCTATATTACATCACACTAAAACATGCCTCCATTTAATGAACTTCTAAATAAAACTAAGCCCGAGTTAGGCTTAGCATATACCATTGGTGAACCATCGCTGAAGAAGAACAAAGATGGAAAGCAAGACAAAGTTGTCGATGAAGATAAATTATTTGAGTTAGTCCAATTAAGACTTTTAGAGGATGCAGAACAGGAAAGACTATGTCAAGTGGCGTTAGCTCGCTATAGAGTTCAGCTTGAGGCCAAACGAGAAGTAGAATCCGTTCAAGCTAAAGCTAAGTTAGATGAGAAAAAACGTGGGGCAGAAGTTGAATTTATGTTTGCCGAGGCTCGGAAAGAACAAGAAAAAGAATCCGAACTTCGTAGAGCCGAGAATAAAAAAGAATTTGAACTTTTTAAAGCCGAGATTGAAAAACAAACTGAACTTGAAATAAGTGAAATGAGACTACAAGTAGAAATAAGACGAAAAGAAGTAGAAGAAGAACTACGTCAATATAAATTAAAGTTAGAGAATCGGTCACAGCAACCTAAACACCATGAGTCAACGCTACAACAAAAAGCAGAGCTACCTAGATCTACTTATGAATATTACTACGATTCAGATGCCTCATACAGTGAAACAGAGAGCAAGCCTACAGCAAAAATTGATACGCCACACTCAGTTAAAGAAGATACCACAACAGACCACAACATGCAGATGAACTATTTGCGACAAAAGAACTACCACAATGTTCGATGCTACTACTGTAATAGACCAGGTCATAAAAAGATAAATTGTAAAAAACTATATTATGATAGACTCCAGCGGAATATAGAGCAGAATAGACGTCAATACAAGAGACCAATTTATAGATCAGCATACATGACATCTTTTAGTGAAGCCGGCAACAGGAAAGACACATTTACAGCCAAGATTAATAACAGATTTGCACGAGCTATAAGAGACACAAGATGCTCAACAATAGCGGTTAGAAGCTGTTTTGTTAGACGACATCAATACACAGGCAGAACACAACTTGTCCAGAGTTCACGCGGCATAACATATGTTTGGCCAACAGCTATAATCCAAATTAGCACGCCATCAGCAACAAGAGCAGTAGAAGCTGTTGTGTTTAGATATGGTCCACACGATCTTATCATAGGCAACATCAGAGGTGTCAAACAATTTCAAGTTGAGAATGACATAAATCACACAACACAAGTAAGAAGCGAACAGGCCAACACACAAAGTTCTATCGAACCAGTAGACAGAACGATGTGCAATCTACAGAAAAGGGGTGATAATTTGGTGTTAGACATGAACACAGTTATTGAAGAGTTGTCTAAAAAAATCACAGAAATCGGCTCAGTTGTTCTCAGTTTGAGAAAACAAAATGATCAACTTAATGACAGATTGCTCAGATTAGAGAAAAAAGTCAACAATGAAAATGAAGAATATGTCCTAAATAATTCAATTGGTGAGAGAGCTTACTACTATTCCTGGTCAGCACTTAATCAGATAATGTCAGAAGTACAAGAAACTACAGAGCCTAAAGAAATGACCTGCACACGAGTACAAGACAGACGACGGACCTGTTCAACCCTAACCTTAACCTAGCGCCCCATGTGCTTTACCCCATGACGGACAGAACTTGGACCACGCACACCTCCTTACGAACGGTTTTGAACAACGTTTACACAAGGATTAACAAGTAAAGTAAATTCAAGTTATCAAACAGTATGATATAAGTCGTCGAAAATATCGGCGTGAAACGATGGGTCACTTTTGATGTTACAGAAAGAAGATGTTGTCATTACATAGTATAATGAGAGTTGCTCCATTATAACCATAAAGAGAAGAATGTCTTAAAGTTTCCATGAGAAGTTGAATATTTATGATTATGCACAGTCTACAGTCACAGGCAGAGAGCTGCTCCTGCACTACAGATATGTGACACGCAAAGCACACATGTCTTTTCTTTATTTGTATCTAATCTAATTCTGTTGGAAGACCAATTATGTAGTTGATGATTATTATAATGTAGTTAGTATTATTGTTGATGATTATAATGTAGTTACCATTGTTGTTGTTATGTAGTGTGTCGTGGACAAATAACCAGCACATCAAAATTTGGTGGGACTATTTTATAAGAGGAAGGTTATTTGTCTGTCGGCACAAACAACGCTAACGAGGCATATGTTTAATAGGAAATGTCCATTCATGTGTTCTCAGAAAACCATAAAGGGACAGCCGCTATGACGTATCGTGTGATGCCCCATTCTGATGTCATCGTAAAACTAACTCGTCGACAACAAACACCACGTCTCTAAATTTGCTACAGCAAACCACAACACATTTACAAGGACAAATACACATGAACATCATCAAGGGCACAACAACGTGAGCAGATCAGCCGATCAACACATCGACAGGAGCAGTTCATCAGATCAACACATCGACAGGAGCAGTTCACCAGATCAACACATCGACAGGAGCAGTTCACCAGATCAACACATCGACAGGAGCAGTTCACCAGATCAACACATCGACAGGAGCAGTTCACCAGATCAACACATCGACAGGAGCAGTTCATCAGATCAACACATCGACAGGAGCAGTTCACCAGATCAACACATCGACAGGAGCAGTTCATCAGATCAACATATCGACATGAGCAGTTCATCAGATCAACACATCGACAGGAGCAGTTCATCAGATCAACACATCGACAGGAGCAGTTCATCAGATCAACACATCTACAGGAGCAGTTCATCAGATCAAAACATCGACTGGACAAGCAGAAACAGAACTTTGTGAAATATCTTTAAGCCAGAGAATCGTTGCGCACGGTCGCGTTCAGTTTTTCGACCAGGCCGCAACGGTCAATTAAGTGTGTTTATCAGTGAAAAAAAAAAATTTCATAGGGATCAATCAATCAAAGCTTAATGAAGACAACGGATGTTTAAGAACTGTGACATTACTTGATTGTTGAAAGATGTGAATTACTATATTATGAGTGTATTGATATAATATGTACTTTATTCATCGTTGTAGGTTACACAGTTATTGATACAAGTTACTAACTATAAAAAAAGCTAATATAATTAGCTTTTTATTTGAAAGGGGGGAGGAATATGTGGTGGCGTAGATGCAGGTGTAGGATAGACAGTGTACGTGACGGAGACGATCGACGAAGCACGGATTAGAATTAGATTGTAATTACGGGCGACATCATTGTGGGGGGTAGGTGTAGCAGACACGTATCTAGTTAGCCTGGGTGACCGTAATGGGGGTAGTTTATTAGCAGGGTCTGACATTTTAATCAGGTACGACAGAACTGTGGCGACATGCAAATTAGGTTAGACCGGATGGGGAAGACAAAGAAGTGAGGACGATGAGGGTTAGGAGACAGTTGAATCTAGCAGTCGGGGTTGAGAATTTGTAGTGAGAGGACGTGTACAAGTGTAGAGTTAGGGAACAGTATAGTGACAATAGTGTAGGAAACATTGAACAGTAGGTGTAGACAAGCAGTATATATTGTGTTAAGCATCGGATGTATAATAAGTAAAATATTGTGAATCAAACTGATATTCGAGTTGTCTTATTTACTGTACGGATATGAGAGTTCTCGTCCTCGTCACAGTAGTTAACTATAGGGGGAAACTAATAGAAGAATAACAAGAAGAATAGAGAAAGCAAGCAATTTCCCCCCACCACACACATCTTCATGCCCAATTGAGTATTTTTAACATTAAATCCATCAAAAACGGTCACGACTGTGAATAGACCCAATACGGCTATTCACAGTCGACTGTGAATAGACACTTCGAACTAAAATTACTAAAATGCACACATTGCTTGCTAATCTCAATCATCCCAATGCTAACCCTAACCCAAACCCTAGTCACTAGTCCTAACATAATACTAATAACATATGCCTAACTTTGAATTCTAACCATAAAATTAGTCAAGATTACAATTCAATACTACGAACAACCCAACATACATATTTTTGGGAGACTCAGTGAGTCACTCGAGAGTCTTTTATCCCCGTATCTAAAGTAATCCGATTGATCTGCTACTGAGTCAGTTGTGGTCTGGTTCTAGATCTAGATCTAGTCTAAATCTTGAAAAATTAAGTGGTGCTGAACTTCAATTTATTATTTGGCCTATTTTTAAATTTTAATTTACAAATTTTTGAAATTAGGTCTAGAGTTGAGAACTGTAGACAACTCGAAGCATCTATTTTCCAATATTCATCGGTGAATAGTGATTAGACAGACACAGTACAAAATAAAATAGTGACATGCAGTTATTGAGTTAATGAAATCAATGTCTAGGTTGGCAGGCAGTCTAGAGTAACTCTAGTGCTTTACTTCTATTCTCGGTTAGTACTTAAGCACTAGATCTAGAATATTAATTAATATATTATTCTGTAGCCTAATTTTAATTTAGTTAAATTTGACCCAAACTTGCCTTATTTAGTAATACTCTATGGCATAGTATAGGGCACTATACATTATACTAACATATGAAGTCTATTATAATACATTTTAATTAAGCCCCTAAAGTCATAGATCTATATAGGTATTATTTATTATATTTAAAAAAAATTAATACTTTTTCTTGATAAAACAAAATTCTGTTATTTTTTGCAGTGGTGGAAGCTTTAAAAGCTGGCCTCAACATTATCATGCTTTATTCTAAAACGAAGTATTCATTGCTGCTTTACCCAGAACTTAAGGAACGTTAAATGGTGTATAGCCAGTGTATACAGAGAAACCAATCCAAAGCTAATTTGTCAAGATTATTGTCTGTGTAATACACCCCTTAACAAAGTTTTAAAGCCAAAATTTGTTGGAAAATTACATGTTGAAAAAACCCACAACATTATCTTCCGATCATATAAGTCTCTAACATCAAATAATGTATGTGTAATTCCTGTTACAAAGAACATAAAAAGCTTTTGTTCCATTTCTGACGAATTTGATGAAACGATGGCTGAAAACAAATTTGTTGTTGGCTATGCAAAGCTTGGCACATCAAGCTGTAAAAAGTGCAAAACAAAAATCGACAAAGGAGCTCTGCGGCTTGGGAAAGTGACACCTAACCCCTTCTCTGATGATGGTGGGGAAATGAAACAATGGTTTCATCCATCCTGTTTATTTGAAACGTTCGTGAGGGCCAGAGCAACCACCAAAAAAATAGAAGACCCGGAGGACGCAGAAGGCTTTGGGGATCTAGAACAGGAAGATAAAGAGGTTATAAAGAAACTTATAGAAGGTATTACCTTGCTGGCTTTTATTTTATAAGAGAAATTGTTTATTGAAGAAATAATTGTACATGTACATTATTAAACTGTTATGAAAATTGATCAGTATTTTCAATATTATTTTGATGCTTCAGACTACCAAGCTAAATCTGGCAACAAAACTCCCTCCAAACCCAAGAAGACACCAGAGAACAAAAAACCTGTGACAACACCAACACAAAGTGAGAAGAAAAAGCAGTCAACTCTTCATTTCGATACAGGTCATTTTGCATACATTGCTCAATGATGTTGTATTATTTATGATATATTAGGCTGAATATAGAATAATCACTGTGTAGTAAGATCAGAGTTAATTTTCACTTATACCTAGAAGACAAAATAGAATCTAATTATTTGTACATATTTTCTTAAATTCTTGTTTAAGAAAGTTTTGATATATTTCACATATTTTTCATAGAAACTGTTTTGTGTCTTGATACACATTTTTGTAACACATTGTTTTTATTAGGTCTTGAGACGATTTACAACATTTTTAAAAGATAAATGGTAATTACATTCTGAATGCTGGGCCCTTATTACATAAATAACTCATTGAACATACGTTAAATATTTTTCAGGCAGCAAGCAGTCACCTGGGGTACCATCTACATCAAAACCACATTCAGACATTGCAACTACATCAAAGACATCCACTGAAGATGATGAAAAATCTGAAAAGGACAATTCATTCCGTGAATTCCGCAGACTGTGTGCTGAAATCGCTGAAGAAAACAGTTATCTAGGGAAGACAAATCTTGTACAGAAGTACATTACAAAAGGAAGCAGTGGAGGTAACTCCAGCTAGTTTAATGACAAAAAGGTTTTTAAAAATACCAATTTAAAAATAGATTCTAAAATATTCACATTCTTTTTAAAAATTGTTTATCTTTATTATTATAAGTTTAAAATAATATAAAATTTAAACTTCAATTATATTTACCATATTGTGTTTATTTTGAATAAATTCCAGATGGTTTCCATGGAGATCTTTACCTTCTGATTAAACACCTTCTCCCTGGAGTGGTGAAGACTGTTTATAATCTAAATAACAAGCAGCTTGTGAAGCTCTTCAGCCAAGTGAGTTAACTTTATTTAAGTTTTTTCCCTTTTTGTTAACGGTTAATTTTTTTTTTTAGAGATAGGTTTTGTTTTAAATAAGTAATTAACTAAATAAAAATAAAATAATCCAAAAATATGTAACATCATCTTTTCCCTTTTCGCCCAAGGCACATGGGGAACATTAATCATGATAATATTGAATTTGTCTAAAATTTAGTTATTTTGTTTTATGTTTGTAGATTTTTGGAACAAGTTTACAGAAGATGGTTGAAGATTTGGACCAGGTAACTAAAGTGCAAATTTTTTTGTTAAATTATATATTTATAATTTTCTTTTGTTTGTGTGCTTATTCAAATATTTAAAGTAACTACTTTAGATGTAAATTTTTAAAGATTATTTTGCATTTTGTCATCTTCTAGGGCGATGTAGCAGAAACTGTAAGAATATTTTTTGAGGAAAGTAAGATTATAACTCCTCAGAAGAAGAGCACACTGAGTCTACAGGAAGTAAGTTTTTAGGAAGGTTTATTTTCTTTTAATGCATTAAGTGACAATACAGCTATAATATAAATATTAAATGTAAATATCCAGAGCAACATTCCTTAGGTAATCTTTCCTTTAAAAAAATATCAGTAACATGTATTCACTATTTAGGTAGATAAATATTTGGAAGAACTCTCCAAATTAACAAGAGAAGAAGAGCAGCAAAGACTATTAACCAAAATAACAAAGAGGTAATTACTGCTTGAATGATTTACATCAGAAAGTCAATCCTTACATCCTTACAGCCTGTAGCAATCTGTTTATTTTACTTTTAGAATCTATCTATTTAAGCCTTTAAATTTGAGGATAAACACTTTTTTGTAATTACACCAATAACTTATTTAATAATATTACAACAAATATTGAAACATTGTGTTTTTTAAATATAATGTATTGATTTTTCTCACAATAATTTATTTTCTTTTTATAATTAGATGAGAATAAAATGGACACAATAAACCTGTTGAAAATCTGTTGATTGAAATAAAATTACTGTTATCTTGACCCACAGATGTACAGCAAATGATCTCAAGATGTTTATCCGATTGATCAAACATGATCTGAGAATCAATTCTGGAGCCAAACACATGTAAGTTCTTGTCTTGAGAAGAATCAAAGAGCAATAGTATAGTAACTACTATCAGTTAAACTGTTACATTTTTAGACAAACTAATTTTATTAATGTTAAGGGTACTAGTAAAGAAGATTTTATTATTTTATAATGAACCAATGCTAATTCAATCCGAATTTTGATTGAGTTATCATTTAAGGTAACAATTGTTTAATTAAAGGATTATGTGGTTTAACACTATAAGTGACCATAGTACTGATATCTTAAATGTTCTAAGTTCAAGTCCAAAAGTAGTTCTGAGTATACACACTAACTTAATTAGTATCCATTATAATTAGAGAGATTTTTCTGTCACTTGGGCAAAGTTTAATGAAAAAGTAATGACATGTTCAGGTACATCATGTTTACAGCTGATTACTTTATTTAACGTTCACGTATCAAATATTTCACAGCCTTGACGCTGTTGACCCAAACGCCTACGCAGCTTTCCAAGCCTCTCGAAACCTGCAAGACGTCATTGACAGAATTCTAGAGAACAAACTTGGTGCAGGCGGATCAAAGCCTGGTTTAAGCAGCAAGCTGAGCATCAGGGCAGCTTTAATGACACCTGTTCTACCTATGCTGGTCAGTGGAATTATTTAATTGACAGTGTTGGACGATATTTAAGGACTATTTTGGTGAAAGTTTATTGCAGGGGGGGGCTGTACTCGGACTTGATGAGTCGTATTGTGGGTGAGGAGAGGTGGGCTTGTTATACATTTTGTAAGTTAAAAATTTTTTTTGTTAAACATTACTACTAGCCAACATTAAAACCTATATTTGTGTTTCGGAAATTATAAAAAAAACATTATGGGCTAACAAAGGTAATATGAAGCATTTTGACCGTCAAGATATGTGGGCTGGATGGTGCACTGTCACTCTTGGGGGATGATAGGCATTTGGGATGTGCACAGGAGATGAGAAAAAAAAAGTTAATTTCTGCAGTAACCAAACCTACAGAATGGAACTGTGTGGTGGAATGGAAGAGCATACCACTTCTAACCCAAAAGTCTCTAGTTTGAATCTGGGTTTTAGTCCGTACAATGTCCCTGAGTCCACCCAGCTCTAATGGGTACCTGACTCACCTCAGGAAAATACTGCTGATCACTTCAAATACAGAGGTCACAGCTAAACTCTACTTCATTTGCCCCATGGACCATCAGGTTCAAAAGAGCAACCTGCAGTCACCAAACCTACATTGACCTGCAGTAAGCTCTGCCATGACCCTAATCATAAACTTTGGTTATGTTAAGTGCTAAAACATTTCAAGTTCAGTATCTGTCCGTTATTTCACAAATTAAATCAACTTCCATCACTTACATTAAATGCTTTTTTGGCTGCTCGACAGAGATTTATTTAACATTAAAAATTCTATAGAGTTTAACTACTTTAAATCCAGGTAATTTGTACAAAATTTTAATATATTAATGGACTGATAAGATTTGGTTTTCCATAGGCTGAGGCATGCAGATCTGTTGAACAAGCCATGAAAAAGTGTCCAAATGGGTTCTATGCCGAAATTAAGTATGACGGAGAGCGTGTACAAGTACACAAACAGGGCCATGAGTTCAAGTACTACAGCCGATCACTTAAACCTGTTGTAAATCACAAGGTACACATTCATTCATTCACACACTATCTATCACCCATATTGTCTTTAATTGGCAGAGTCTCCATAGTCCTCTGTACTGTGCCTTCTTCTCACTCCAGGTAGTTTCAGCCTCAAAGTCAAATTCTCCAGGTTTTACGTGGTCGACCTCTTTTTCTATTTTCCTTGCAAATTCAACCTTAATACCTGCCTAGTAATACTGTTTGCAGAGGTGTGCCCCATATAAACCCATATTTTCTTCCTGATTTCTTCATCTGCGCGTATTACTCTAAAATAAACAATCTGTCCAACACATTTATGGTTCTGCAGGTGCAACATTTTAAAGATTATATCCCAGCTGCTTTTCCAACTGGCAGTGATCTGATTCTGGATGCTGAAGTTCTATTGGTTGACAACAAAACAGGAAATCCTTTACCCTTTGGAACTCTGGGTGTCCACAAGGTATGTTATGTTCTTTTTAAAATAAATTAATGTTACATGCTTGAACAATCTTTTCGATTTTGGTGAAAATGCATTATCAGAAAATTGTTAAAGCAAAAATATCTACAAAATTAATAAAAACAACTTTTAAAAATGGAGTACAAATTCTTGAAAAATGTTACTATTTTTAAATTTCAGAAAGAAGCTTTTAAAGATGCAACTGTTTGTCTGTTTGTGTTTGATTGTCTCCTGATTAACAATGAAAACTTAATGGAAAAGTTTGTAACCTTTTTTTTTTAACTGAGACAAATTTAGACATGCACACAAAAAATATTAATTATCCATCTTTGATATTAAAATAAAAGATGAGTAGCTTCCCTTAGAACAAGTAGTGTTCAGTTGTGCTCAATAGTATTTGAAAACTCAGCAGTATGATTCTCATTTTAAAATATTTTTTTTCTTTTCAGGCCTATAAAAGAAAGAAGAAAAATACTGGAAAAGAATATGACAACAGTAAAAAATCATATACACCTGTCAGAGATTAAACTAATCAAGGTAATCACCATTTCTACTCATGGGAGCCCACCACAAATAATTCTTTGCACTTCTTACAACTTTCTATGCATGTTCTACAAAAATTAATCAGACTCCTTATAAAATTGATACAATTTTTATGAATTTATTAATATGTTACACCTTTTGATATTGAAATAAACATAAACTAAAAAATATGTTAAAAGACATTTTTAACATCTGTGGAGATATCACATCATGTGCAGTATAATCTGTGTCAAAGATTAACTTAGGATGAATAATCTCAAGATAGGTATACTTATAGTTGCATGTTTTGTTGTTGTAGAAGCCATCAGATCTACAGGAGTTGATGGGCCGAGTGTTTCGTGAAGGCTTAGAGGGACTTGTACTAAAAGATGTCAATGTGAGTTTTCTTGGTAAAATAGTTTCAGCATTTTAGAATGCTCTCTATACATACATCTTTGCTTATTAAAGTTTAAGCTCTTTGAAGCAGTAGAGCTTTTATTATAGTTGTAACCATTGGTTTGTTAAAAACATTAGTTATAGGAATAGTTTCTTACTGAAAAGGATATTAAATTTTATGTTTGGTTACGATCTAATAATATTAGTTTTCGTTTGTCCCTAGAGTTTGTACGAGCCAGGGAAGCGACACTGGCTAAAGGTCAAGAAAGATTATTTGCATGAAGGGAAAATGGCTGACTCAGCAGATCTGGTGGTACTGGGTGCTTATTATGGTACAGGAAATAAAGGTATGTTTCTGTTTCATTTGCATTTTGTCTTTGCTGCAGTTATTTATTATTTGTCCCATCAACCTTAAATTTATTTTTTTAAAGTAGAAAACCTTTTCTATAAAATGTACTTTTATTTTCTATGTCCATTTCTCTAATAACTTTTAAAAATGGTTGTTTAGTATTTTGTCCCTATTTTTCAATTGATTCTATGACAGGTGGTATTTTGCAAATTCTTCTGTTCCAGGTGGTATGATGTCAGTGTTTCTGTTGGGTGTCCTTGACCCTAGAGAAAACAGGTGGGTGACTGTGACCAAGTGTGGGAGTGGCTTTGACGACAAGATGCTAGAGACCTTGAACAAAGATTTAGATATGGTGAAAATTAGTAAAGATTTCTCTCAGGTAATGCTGCCGTCTATTAAATATCTAGTTAAGCATCACTATGTAGATTTTTACTGGGGACAAACTTCATAAGTTTTAAGATAAAAAAAAAATGTCATGTGGCTGTAATTGGGGTAAGAGAAGCAAATGTAAGGAATTTATAATACAATATTAAGGTCTAATAAAAAATAATATGTGGTGTTGGATGGGGTAGGTCATGTAAAGATTAGTATTTAGTAGTAGCTAGTTCAATGTCGTTATATGAAGGAGTAGTATCAAGATTTTTCTGATTGACCACCTTTAGGTTACTTTGTATCAAGAGTGTTTCATGTTATGTAAAGGGAAAAACCTGATTTACCAAACACTACTGTCTCTATAAAAAATGTATATTTAAGAAATAAACTTAAATCATTCAGCAAGACTTCTTTAAATCATTTAAAGTTTGTTTCATACACACCTCCACCATGGTTAGACAAATGCATACATGTTTTGTTATGCTCTTGGCATATCAACTACTAGGTTAGCCTGTCACCCCCTTACTGAGACAATGGCTGCTGACAAGAGCTTTTCAAGCATCTCTGTCTTGGCCTAGTCTCTCCAACTTTTCCAATCTGCATCCAATCTTCTTAGTGTCTTCTACCTGGTCACATCACCTGGTCATGCTTGGTTGGTTTTTTTTATTGCCTTGTGGTTTCTAGGTGTGCACCTGTCTTGTTGTGCTGGATACAGGCTTTCTGAGTGTGTGGCCAATCCTTTTATATATTCTCTAGAGGCAGGGCCGGCGCTACCTATAAGGCGAACTAGGCGGTTGCCCAGGGCGCCAAAATGGGTTGCAAAACCAAATTGAAAGTTTGAGGGGGGGGGTGCAAATCGAAAGTTTGTCCCTGGGGTCACGAAAAAAATTGCTGGGTGGGGGGTGGGGGCGCTTTTAATAAGTCTAGAGGATCTTTTCTTCAGCTGGCTGTTGATTTATCCATAGTACCTCATTTTTGATGGCATTCCACAATAGTTATAGAAACACATACATCCTTTTGTTACACTAGCGGTGGTCACAAATCTACTAAGATTATATACCAATTGTTTTCTTTCCCTAACAACCAGGTCCCAAAGTGGCTGAACATCAAAAAGCCCCTGACCCCAGACTTTGTGGTGGCTGACCCAAAGAAAGCCCCAGTGTGGGAAGTCATAGGAGCGGAGTTCAGCCAGGCTGAGATCCACACAGCGGATGGCATTTCCATCCGCTTTCCCAGAGTTCAGAAGTTTCGGGATGACAAAACATGGAAGGAGGCCACGGATTTACCTAGGTTAAAGGTCAGTGTTTTACATATTGGTACACAGATTTACCTAGGTTAAAGGTCAGTTTTAATGTTGGTACATAGATTTACTTAGGTTAAAGGTTAGATTTAATATAGGTACACAGATTTATCTAGGTTAAAGGTCAGAGTTTTAATATTGGTACACAGATTTACCTAAATTAAAGATCGGAGTATCATTAATAAGATTGTGTGTTGTGTCTTGTGTTTTGGTGCGCTGTGATTGGTACACAAATTTACCTAGGTTAAAGGTCAGAGTTTTAATATAATGGTGTGTTTTGTCACTTTAGCTTAGCTTATAACTCTGTTTAAAAAATAATTTACATTTAAATAATAAGTACCCTAACCCTTGCAGACCTTATAATCATAGAACAGATGAAGTAGAGTTTATCTGTTTCTATGACCATGGTAAATTAAGGGATTGCTTTTACTTTCCCCAGCTAGAGTTTAGTTATATGCTGGGTGGTTCTAAGGGCACCTCTTGACTCATGCTGTGAAACCAAACTTTAGACCATTGGTTTAGAAATGGTGTGTTCTACCACTCAACCACGCCATATCAGGCAGCTCTGTCATCATGGTTTCTGGTTTCTTTCAGACATTTGTTTTCTAGGTGGGTGGGTGGGGGGGGGGGTGGCTCTAAATATTTCAGAGGAGGTGTAAAGTTCCCTTTCAAACCTGACGGTCTACGGGACAAGTGAAGTAGAGTTCACTTTTTCTGTGACCTCGGCATATGAAGAGATAGTGTGGCCAACACTATGCCCAGCCGCCTTTATTTTCCCTAACGTGAGTTAGGTACCCATCAGAGCTGGGTGGACTCAGGGACAGTCTATTGACTTGAACTCAGATTTTAACTCGAGACTTACGGGTTAGCAGTCCAGCTCTCTACTCTCTACTGCTAGGTAGTGTGGACACTGGTAAAAGTATATATTTTTCTATATACATTATATATAGATTATATATTTTCTATTTGACCCTGGGAGAAGAGAGAGGGGTGTGGACCTGCTCCAATGTGGGAGATGTGTGCTGAAAGGAACTCTGTAGTAACATTCTTACTTTAGTGTGGATTTTGTTTTTAAACAGAAACTTTTCCAAGAATCCAAAGAAAAAAGTGACTTAAATATGCAAAGAGCTTTAGGAAAAGATAAGGGTGATGATGATGATGATGGGGAAGGGAGTGATGATAATGGTGATGGTGGTGTGGATGTGGACAATGATACACTACCAATAGATGATAGCCCCAGTCCTGTTAAAGAGAGTTCTGCTGTTAAAAATGTCAAAAAACGTCCTCCTGAAAAAGATGCTGATGATGAAATACTGAAGAAAAAGGTAAAGCACATTTCTTATTGCTGTACTTTTATGTTAGGATAACAGTAAACTGTTAGAAATTGCCTTATAACTGCTTACCATCTTGTACAAATATGTAGAGACACTATTGTTCTTTAATAATTGTTTGCTATCTATGGTAATTTTTATAGATATCTATACTAAATCAGCACATACATTGACAATAGGTCTAGGTCATTGGCTGATAACTGAATTCATCTATTATTAGTGTCTCTTCAGATGTTAGAAACTAGTAGAATTGTTGAATTTTTTCTGTTTTCTGATTCAACTTCAACATTTGTTGCATGTGTTTGATAGAAAAAGCCTGAAGAGAAAAATGGCACAAAGAAACTGGAGGGTTCTGACTCGGCTAAATCTGTCTCTAGTGGCACAAGCAAAAAATCTGTAAGTTTGTAGGCGTTGTAGTTTTTTTTTTTAAAAATGTGTTTGCTATTGTTTCTTTATAGCTATTCATTAAAGTTTTTTATTTATTTTTTTGTGAAAAAATATCCAGAAAATGTTTTAATCTGACATGTTTTTTCATCTTTCTAGACACAATTTTTAATTCTTTGCTTTATTATTTTCTCCAATAATTATGAAATACTATTGATTAGCTGCATTTGATTAAAAACATTTGATTAAAAACATTGACCTAATTTTTCTGGTGGTAATTATTTTTAATGATGTTTTTTTTCCACCACCTCAGGACTTGCCTAATGTGTTTGTTTGTTCCACCACCCCATGACTTGCCTAATGTGTTTGTTTGTTCCACCACCCCATGACTTGCCTAATGTGTTTGTTTGTTCCACCACCCCATGACTTGCCTAATGTGTTTGTTTGTTCCACCACCCCATGACTTGCCTAATGTGTTTGTTCCACCACCTCAGGACTTGCCTAATGTGTTTGTTTGTTCCACCACCCCATGACTTGCCTAATGTGTTTGTTCCACCACCCCAGGACTTGCCTAATGTGTTTGTTCCACCACCTCAGGACTTGCCTAATGTGTTTGTTTGTTCCACCACCCCATGACTTGCCTAATGTGTTTGTTTGTTCCACCACCCCATGACTTGCCTAATGTGTTTGTTTGTTCCACCACCCCATGACTTGCCTAATGTGTTTGTTCCACCACCTCAGGACTTGCCTAATGTGTTTGTTCCACCACCCCAGGACTTGCCTAATGTGTTTGTTTGTCCCACCACCCCAGGACTTGCCTAATGTGTTTGTTTGTTCCACCACCCCAGGACTTGCCTAATGTGTTTGTTTGTTCCACCACCCCATGACTTGCCTAATGTGTTTGTTTGTTCCACCACCCCAGGACTTGCCTAATGTGTTTGTTTGTTCCACCACCCCAGGACTTGCCTAATGTGTTTGTTTGTTCCACCACCCCATGACTTGCCTAATGTGTTTGTTTGTTCCACCACCCCATGACTTGCCTAATGTGTTTGTTCCACCACCTCAGGACTTGCCTAATGTGTTTGTTCCACCACCCCAGGACTTGCCTAATGTGTTTGTTTGTCCCACCACCCCAGGACTTGCCTAATGTGTTTGTTTGTTCCACCACCCCAGGACTTGCCTAATGTGTTTGTTTGTTCCACCACCCCAGGACTTGCCTAATGTGTTTGTTTGTTCCACCACCCCATGACTTGCCTAATGTGTTTGTTCCACCACCTCAGGACTTGCCTAATGTGTTTGTTCCACCACCCCAGGACTTGCCTAATGTGTTTGTTTGTTCCACCACCCCAGGACTTGCCTAATGTGTTTGCTGGGTGTAAAATTGTTCTGCTGCCTTCTGTGCCCAAACACAAAGAGCTCCAGCGCTACATCCTGGCCTTCGATGGTGACCTGGTCCATGAGATGGACGCGGCCACAGCCACCCATGTTGTCCTCCCCTCCACGGACAAGGTCAGTCACTGTTTGTGTGTGTGGGGGGAGGGGGGGGGGAGTGATGTTAATGGACATAAATTAACTTTAAAAAAATGTATCTCCTTATGCCAGATTTCTTAAAGGTTTGAGGTTAGAGGGGTAAAAAAAATTCATTGGTATAAAAACGCAGGTTGTTTCAAAGCTAGGTGTGAGCTTTCAACTGCTAACCAAAACATCTCGAGTTTGGATCTCGGATATTCCTGAATTCACCCAGCTCAGATGGGAATTGACTAACGTTAGGAAAACCAAGGCGGTTGAGCACAGTGTTGACCACACTATCCCCCTGTGTCCCGAGGTCATTGAACAGATGAACTCTACTTCATCTGCCCCATGTGTTTTGTGTTTGAATGGGATAAGATTATGAAGTCACTGGGCTCTCTTACCTGCAATTCTATAAGTACCAGCATGTCACATTATGGGTACTGGGGAGAGCTGAGATTAAAAAGTCACATTATGGGTACTGGGAAGAGCTGAGTCAAGAAAGTCACATTATGGGTACTGGTGAGAGCTGAGTTAATAAAGTCACATTACTGGGGAGAGCTGAGTTAAGAAAGTCACATTATGTGTACTGGGGAGAGCTGAGTTAAGAAAGTCACATTATGGGTACTGGGAAGAGCTGAGTCAAGAAAGTCACATTATGGGTACTGGGGAGAGCTAAGTCAAGAAAGTCACATTATGGGTACTGGGAAGAGCTGAGTCAAGAAAGTCACATTATGGGTACTGGGAAGAGCTGAGTCAAGAAAGTCACATTATGGGTACTGGGGAGAGCTGAGTTAAGAAAGTCACATTATGGGTACTGGGAAGAGCTGAGTCAAGAAAGTCACATTATGGGTACTGGGGAGAGCTGAGTCAAGAAAGTCACATTATGGGTACTGGTGAGAGCTGAGTCAAGAAAGTCACATTATGGGTACTGGTGAGAGCTGAGTTAATAAAGTCACATTATGGGTACTGGGAAGAGCTGAGTTAAGAAAGTCACATTATGGGTACTGGGGAGAGCTAAGTCAAGAAAGTCACATTATGGGTACTGGTGAGAGCTGAGTTAATAAAGTCACATTATGGGTACTGGTGAGAGCTGAGTTAATAAAGTCACATTACTGGGGAGAGCTAAGTCAAGAAAGTCACATTATGGGTACTGGGAAGAGCTGAGTCAAGAAAGTCACATTATGGGTACTGGTGAGAGCTGAGTCAAGAAAGTCACATTATGGGTACTGGTGAGAGCTGAGTCAAGAAAGTCACATTATGGGTACTGGTGAGAGCTGAGTTAATAAAGTCACATTACTGGGGAGAGCTAAGTCAAGAAAGTCACATTATGGGTACTGGGAAGAGCTGAGTCAAGAAAGTCACATTATGGGTACTGGGAAGAGCTGAGTCAAGAAAGTCACATTAATGGTACTGGGAAGAGCTGAGTTTAAAAAGTCACATTATGGGTACTGGTGAGAGCTGAGTCAAGAAAGTCACATTATGGGTACTGGTGAGAGCTGAGTCAAGAAAGTCACATTATGGGTACTGGTGAGAGCTGAGTCAAGAAAGTCACATTATGGGTACTGGTGAGAGCTGAGTTAATAAAGTCACATTATGGGTACTGGGAAGAGCTGAGTTTAAAAAGTCACATTATGGGTACTGGTGAGAGCTGAGTTAATAAAGTCACATTATGGGTACTGGGAAGAGCTGAGGTAAGGGGCAGATGTTAAGGTTCAACAGATCCTAAACACACATTGGTAAAGAGCCAGATGATGGGTACTGAGAAAGGCTGAGTAGATAAAGTTTTGAGAGATCCTGAACATGTATCAGTTAATAGTTTAGTTAAGGCATGAGAATGGTTGGGTCAAGTTGAACTTGCTGTTAAACCTGTTGTTTAGCTCATTTTGGCTCAGAAGGTCACCTGTAATGATGTTTGGTTCATGTTGGCTCAGTGGGTCTCCTGTTATGGTAATGTGTGGCTCGTGTTGGCTCAGTGGGCCACCTGTAATGATGTTTGGTTCATGTTGGCTCAGTGGGTCTCCTGTTATGGTAATGTGTGGCTCGTGTTGGCTCAGTGGGTCTCCTGTTATGGTAATGTGTGGCTCGTGTTGGCTCAGTGGGCCACCTGTAATGATGTTTGGTTCATGTTGGCTCAGTAGGCCACCTGTAATGGTAATGTGTGGCTCGTGTTGGCTCAGTGGGCCACCTGTAATGATGTTTGGTTCATGTTGGCTCAGTGGGTCTCCTGTAATGGTAATGTGTGGCTCGTGTTGGCTCAGTGGGCCACCTGTAATGATGTTTGGCTACTGTTGGCTCAGTGGGTCTCCTGTAATGGTAATGTGTGGCTCGTGTTGGCTCAGTGGACCACCTGTAATGATGTTTGGCTAATGTTGGCTCAGTGGGTCTCCTGTAATGGTAATGTGTGGCTCGTGTTGGCTCAGTGGACCACCTGTAATGATGTTTGGCTAATGTTGGCTCAGTGGGCCACCTGTAATGGTAATATGGGGCTCGTGTTGGCTCAGTGGGCCACCTGTAATGATGTTTGGTTCATGTTGGCTCAGTGGGTCTCCTGTAATGGTAATGTGTGGCTCGTGTTGGCTCAGTGGGCCACCTGTAATGATGTTTGGCTACTGTTGGCTCAGTGGGTCTCCTGTAATGGTAATGTGTGGCTCGTGTTGGCTCAGTGGACCACCTGTAATGATGTTTGGCTAATGTTGGCTCAGTGGGTCTCCTGTAATGGTAATATGGGGCTCGTGTTGGCTCAGTGGACCACCTGTAATGATGTTTGGCTAATGTTGGCTCAGTGGGCCACCTGTAATGGTAATGTGTGGCTCATGTTGGCTCAGTAGATGATGTGTGGCTGACATTGTGCTGGCCACACAATATCTGTATCTGTACTGTGGCTACAGGAGGTCTACTTCATCTACTCTATCTGAATGTAGCTAATCACATTGAAAGCAAACAGAAGCTAAACTTTAAAAACTCATACATAGGCCGCTGACAAGAACTCTCAGGGTAACATCACTTCAACCCCTTGCCACCCCCTACATGTAGACATACCCACACACTTGTAGAAACACATACATTGCTTTCTTATAGTACAATTATGATGGAATCTACCCTTCAAGCAGCTGTTATTTGACCAAAATTCCTAAGAATTTATGTGGTAACAATATGACATCCTCCATCCAGATAGTCATTTGACAGGGATTCGTCACGTTATCTTAAGTAAAAAATTGAATTCATTTTTATGAATGAATTCATCTTTATTTCAAAAGATCATCCATCATTATGTGTGAATTAATCATTAGAAGTGAATTAACCTAAGTAGTGAATAAAGCATTACAGCTTAAAACATGAGCTCTGAATCCATCATCAAGAACACTACAACAAGGGAAGTCACCCCAGCATGTGAACTCCCATGATCATGTGATCAGTCTAAAAAAAAACACACGACCTGTCTCTTTAACGTGTCTTATATTTTTGGTCACATTCTCGGGTGAGCATGCGCAGCTCATCATTGTAATTTGCTTTCCTTTTTAGTGGCTCGTGAACATCGTGTTCAAATTGATTATTTTATCACTGTTAAATCACTGCTTTAAAAAATTAAAAAAATAATAAATAAAAGGGGGCAGTGGAGATAACCTTTGTAACACGAGTTATGTTTCCTAAAATTGTTAAAACTAATGGATAATATCTGCCGAAGAAAGCTGGAAACAAACACGACATACTTTTACCGTGACGAAATACAGGCCCATATTTTTTAAGACGTGTTGAACGATTATACAACAAGTACTTCCCCACCTGGCCTGGCTATTTGTTTAATTCTCGCGGCAAACGAGATCTGGCCCTTTCGACCACGTGACCTTTGTGATGACGCCTAAGAAAAACACTTGCCCGCTGATGAAACCGGGGGACGCCGTGCTATGAAAGGGGCTTAACTCATTATTTTCATATTAGATTGGAGAGTGGCTGAGCGAAATATGTACATGATTGGATGTTATCACAAATGCGGATTAGCTCCCCTTTTTTATCATCCTGGAGCCCGCCACAAACAAAGCCTGATTGTCATGTGACGCCCCGGAGCCTGATTGCCCAGTCACGTGACCCACATTTCCCTAGCGCGTATTTTGATAGACATATTATGATAGTGTGCTGCTTTAAAACTAATTTTTAAAAGTATGGGTAGTGAAAAGTTGCATTTAATATTATGTTTTGATAAAGATGTTGGGAGTGGGGAGAGGGGGTATTTTTAAAACTAAAGTTGAATCTTCGCTAGACTTGGGGTTCATACAATACACTAAAAATGTAATTTTTACCTATCGTGTCCCCTATAACAGATACATTTCCGTAGAACCCCACCACTTCTTGTTGTATAAAATCTATAGAATTAATACCCTCCACGAACAACTGTACTGGTTGGCACTTTTGGCCTACGGGAAATATAAATTGCTGGAGCCTAATCCATGTTGAGGAAATCGCTTACTTACTTCTTCATATGAAACTTTCGCACAATTTTATACTGAAATAATTAAAAGAATCACTTATTTAGTAGTATCAACGTACTTATGTCAATGTAGCAATTAAAAAAAAAACAACAGAATTTTAGTTAAAAAATAAAATACATGTTTTCACACCGTCCCTTTCACCATTTAACAAAATCTAACACAATTCTAAATCATCCCTTATGCCTTTTATGTGAAATAATAATATGAACAGAATACCCGATCAGTTGGAAATAGGACGTGAATATGTCAATATTTTACCCCCCAGCAATGGCTGTAGAACTACTATCGTCTGTTAACAGTTAAAAAGTAACCCATATCTTTAAATATCCATCTCCCTCATTAAAAAAATGTTTTAATGTTTTATTAAATTGACGATTTACCCTACCTATTAATCACAACACACCCTTGACATTTCCCTTTCGAAATTACCCAGGTTTTAAAATAATAATAAAAAAATATTAAATCTGAAGAGTTAACTCCCCTTATTTACTTGAAAATTATCGCCCCTTGCGCCCGATTGATTCGCACAGTGTTATCGATCAAATCTCATTAGCTCCTTGTTAGGGCCTGCTGAAAACAGCATCATTTTAATGGATGCATGCACTGAATATTATATAGATCTGACAAATTTTTGTATACATCATTACCCGAGGTCCCGTCCAAAAAAAATTATTCTATCATGGCTTCTTTTTAAGTGAATGTTGCTTTGTTGTGCACTTGAAGGTCCTCCCTCTGTTGAAATGTATAGGTGGTTTCATTCATTACTGTTGGCCGGTCAAGTGTGATTCTAGTTCCCTTGTCTGCAGGTTTCTATATTTAGTTCCCTAGCCATTGTAGGTTTCTTTCTATTCTTTACTGTGTTTAGGTCTGTTACCCATAGTCCCTCTCTCTGTAGGTCCTTATCTGTAGGTCTTTATCTGCAGGTCTTTATCTGTAGGTCTTTATTTGTAGGTCTTTATCTGTAGGTCTTTATCTGTAGGTCTTTATCTGTAGGTCTTTCTCTGTAGGTCTTTCTCTGTAGGTCTTTATCTGTAGGTCTTTATCTTTAGGTCTTTATCTGTAGTCTTTATCTGTAGGTCTTTATCTGTAGGTCCGTATCTGCAGGTCTTTATCTGTAGGTCTATATCTGTAGGTCTATATCTGTAGGTCTTTATCTGTAATTTGCTTTTTGTAGTTGTTTATCTGTAGGGTTTAAGCCCATATCTGCAGTTTAGTTTGCCATATCTGCAATATGTAGTTTGCCTCTGTATTTCTCTGTAGTTACTTAAGCTGTTTCACGTAGTTTCTTCTTTGGGGTTTTTGCTTCCACACTCCCCCCCCAACCAAGTTTTGCTCAAAACCCTTCTTCCCCCCATACCCCCTCCCTCAAAATCTGCTCCATCACTGTCCTTTTCGCCTGCCGGAAATTATAAGTGCGCTCCTCGGAAGTTAAAAGCCCCCTCAACACCCGTATAAAAAGGTCAGAAAGAAACCCTGCCTCCAAGTAAGTCCTGCTCCTCCCCATTTCCTGTCACCCGCCCACCCTCACCCTGAAGGTCATATTGCTTCAAGCCAATTACCCCCTTCACAAGTCCATGACGTCAAAGATACAACTCTGATGAAGTCTAGTTGTCGAAACCTGGCGGTACCCGGGCAGGCCGTCCCATCTTTTGACTGTGATTAATGGTTGCAGTAGAGAACATGTTCTCCCCGCCCAGTGGCGCGTGCTTCGTTAGGACGGGATCCCCTGCCCCGTCATTTGGACGTTAGCCGCCTGACTGGGCAGCTCTAATCTACCACGCCGCCATGGTCAGATGAGCCTAGTTAAGCTCGTTTGCTAGATTAGCTGAGTAAATAATCTTTGGCCGGGGTCGGGGCTTTTTTTTTTTTTTTTAAAGCGGTTCGTTGGCCATCTTTCGTGGATAGAATAAAGATTAAACAATCTTCAGCCATTCCTTGGCCATGATTATATTAGTTGATGAATAATCGCTGTTTGTTAGATTGATGATTTGGCCTAAGTTACATTTGGCCTTGTCTTATATCGGCCATTACAAATTTTTGGCCAAGGCTGCTCTAATTATCCATCCGATTCTCCCTGGCAGGTGAGGCTCGATAGCTAGGGACAACAACTCGTCTAGGGGAGACAACTCCAAAAATCAAACAACTGCTGCCTTGTAGTTTGTTCTTGGTTGGACAAAAGCTAT